GTTCGTCTCGAACACACAACTTTTATGAATTAATATATTTAGTTTTTAATTTGACCATTTTCGAAAAATATGTTGGAATAGTTTAGAAGTAAGTTGTGGAATTAAATTACTAGTTAAAACTTTTTACTGATTAAAGTTGAAATTTATAATGCAATGACCACTTTTTCCTCCTGCGAAGAGAAAAATGTGATTATTTTAGTTTGATATTTTGGAGTATTGTCCATGTAAAAAATACGGATTAATGACATGCAATTCTGCAAAATACAAAATTTATTATATGAATTGTTTTTGACTTAAAAAATCCTAAGTATTTATAACTGGAGTGGCAGGTATTGCAAAGAACATAGAAAGTATAAATTATTTGACATCTGTAATTAATTTTTAAAAAGTCAAGAAAAAGTTGGTGATATTTTTCTAACATTTCTTCAATTTAAACCAATTCTAATGATTTCATTTCATGATTTCATTCAAAAATTGAATTTTTCTCAGCTTTCTCAAAACGAAAGATGTCCGACGGATTTGATATGAGGTCACCCATTTATACTGTAATGTTTTATAATGCAATTAATTTATTATATTCTTTTATTTATTTTTATTTAATTTTATTTTATTTTTATTATTATATAATAATTTATTAATTGCATTTATAATGCAATTGTTTTTATTATGTTATATATTTTTTAGAAGCATTTATTATGTTATGTATTATTTTAGGATATTTAAAATGGAGATATACATCTCATTAATTTTTATTTCTACTAAATTAAATATATTTTTTCATAATCTTATAAAATATTTTTAATGAAATGATATAATAAAACTAAAAATTTTATGTTGAATATTTAATAGTTGACCGTTGCATTATAAAGGAAGGAGATGGTCCGGGGTTGCGGTCAGAAATAATATATTTTATGACCGCAACCCCGGATCATCTCCTTCCTTTAAAAATTTTATGGTTGAAAGATCACGAGAAATGATTGATGATTCTTATCTAAGTCCTAATGATATTTCATCAAGTGATAAAAGTGAATAACTATATGATGATTGTATTTATGAAATGCTGATCACTATATCCAATAAATTATTTTATATAGTGAACTAATCGTCACCAAGACAATTCTCTAAGGCTTTACTTAAGTTGTAAGACAGTCAAAATAAGAGGATATTACAGAAGAACAGTTTTGTTTGTTATAGTTACAGGTTTTATAAAGGAACTATAGGTATATTTAGCTAGTACTGTCCAAAGTAATAGTCAGAAGTAGTTAACTTTTGTACACTGGTCTTTCATGACTTTTTTTGCAAATCGAAGGACCAAATTTTGTTAGCACTGTTTGGTTGTCAAAGGTTTGATGTCATCTCCTTATCTATAGTCTATAAATAAAGGTTATGTTTAAATAACTTAATTAAAAAGTGTTCAAATCATACACATGTCTTCCTGCGAAATTCCTATTGAATGAAATTTTTTGAATTGACTATATGATCTAAGGACCAAAAATAAACATTGAATTATATAGGACTGCAATAAAAATGAAATGTGAATTGAACTAGTGTTTTCAACACTTAAGAAACTCAATGACCTGATGCATAGTGATTACCAAAACATAACGGTTATAGTACATCATGAAATAAACAGTCATATGGGATTGCAATCACCATGGAAGATATTGTAAGAAGTAGAAGGAATATCATAGTTTGCTCAGACATCAATTCTTGGAATAAAGTTTAAGGATTTAATCGTGCCAATACGAGAGGAACAAAGATAGAAGAGTTTATAGCTAGGAATCATCTTGTCATTATTAATGATCCCTCTCTACACGTACATATTTCAGAACTATGGGAAATAGTCGAAACGATGTGACCATGATCCTCATGAGCATTATCAGGGTTCATCATTGTTTAGATAGAATCTCAAATCTGATACGAGTTCTGACCTCAATGCCATATCATTTTGTCCTGGAAGAAAAACCAGGATGTTCCCATGGTTTTGATAAAAATTATGTAACCTGAGGAACAAATAGGAGAGTCTTCCACTGTGTATCATGAAGCGAACTTATTGACGAAGAGTGGGAAGAGGCGATGCTACATGGAGGGGATGACTTGGATTATAGAGTATCCAGAATTTCAGAAATTATCTGCGATGCCATTGAAAAGACTTCAACAATGGAAGGCGAGAGCTACATCAGTCTCATGGTGGACGCCGACTTTAACTACTTTAAAGAGATACTATAAAGCCCGCTGCATTTCTTAGGTATGTGTAGAGGTTCAAAAGAAGGCAAGGATTTACCATAGTGCGCTGGCAAAAGCTGAGCATCTCTATCTAAATTTCATTGTTAATGGATCATCAAAGAATCCTTCGGGTATTTCATACAGAGTGGCCAAGGGAAAATTGAGACCATTACGGATATTGGCAGCTCCTAAACATGGAGATAATCTGGCAAGTACACCTAAAGAGTCAGCAAGCATATTCATTGAAGTAAAATATCCTATGGATGGTTCGCCATCTGGAGGGTGCGCGAACTCCAGCAGCTACAGAAATATGATGCCCTAAGCAATCTATATCCCCTTCTACTTACAGAACAGACATCTGAAGATTAGACATAGTTGTTTCTATGAGATTGAGAAAATGAACCAGAGGTGATGTCCACAGTGCTTTGTGGAACTTAGTTTTCAGTGAGCTTTTGGAGATATTAAAAGAGCAGAGGTTCTCAGCAACGACATATGGTGACCACTTGGAAGAGCCAATTAGTAAAAAATCCTGAAAGAAACAGTAAAAAAAGCAGGCCTACAAATTCCCTACGGAAAGACAAAATTTATGAAAACAGAGAAATATTACTGCAAGAAAATGATATAGGCGAAATATGGACTAATAAAAGTAAAAAAGAAATTTAAATATCTAGGAGAGACAATATGCAATAATTCGAAAAAGAACACAAAAGAGAAAATCTCAAAGTTGGAAAAAACTTGGCGTCACAACAGGCAATATTTACAAGAAGAAGAACCTATCTTCTAATGCAAAAATAAGGCACTACAACATGGTGATATAAACAGTTATTCTGTACGGTATGGAGACAACATGTCTCCCAAGGCTAGAAAAATTACTGAAAATAGAGAGAAGAATTCTGAGGAGAATCTATAAGCCCAAGCCCAAGAAGACCCAACCAAGAGATCTACAGCGTGATAAAAGACCTAAAAACCGAAATAAGAATCAGAAGACTACGATTCTACGGGCACATGATAAGAATGGACCAAAAGAGACTAATCAAGAAACTCTTTGATAGAATCCGCGAATACAAGAGCATAAAAGGATATGTAACACAAATGAGAAAGGAAACAGAAAAATTGAAAATAACAAAGACTGCCTGGATAGGGAGCAATATGGAAAAAAATTAAAAGAAATCATGGTTCTTCTGGAAAATAAAGAAAAACGGAAGGGTACTGCATGGTTGAAAGAGGGGAAGCAAAGGCATGCAGAAATTATGAGAAGATGCTGGGAGACGAGAAAAGCGAAAATGAGAAAGGAAATGTAATGATTTTCATGTAGTCTTAAAAGGCCGTTACGTGGAAAAAAAAAAGTGGAATTCTGTATTATCAAAAGACATGGAAGGGAGAGCGAAATAGATATTGGATTACAATACTGGTGGAGGCATAGTTGACTTGTTGTTAGGATTGGGGAGTTAATTTAGGATTCTAGTCATAGTGTAAAGCAAACAAAAATGTATTTTATTTTTTGTCAACACTTTGGCCTATGTTTCAGGCCTTTATGAGGGCTACGCTTTTATAGCACGCCAGTGTTGAGTGTTGAAAGTTTTTGGTTTAGAAAATTAATGTTACTCATGGTTTCTGGGATTTTTAAATTAAGTTAAGATTTGTAAAATTTGGATGCATAAATTTGGCCTTCATGTTCATGGAAGTAGCAAAGATTGTTGATTAGATATACGGTTAAGAGGATTTGAAAATGAAAAGGATGAGAAATGGGTTTGGTAGGGACATGTACAATTTAAGTTGGAAGAGTTTTAATTGAAGAAGATGAAGTTTAAGCCTGAGTAGTTGTAATGGCCGAAGAAGAATATAGAAATCTAATTAATCTTCAGTGAAATGATCTATTGCTTTGGAATATAATATGTGTCAATTTTTAGGGAATTAGGCAAGAGAATAAAAAAAATTAGGATCATTATTTTTATTCAAAATAACTTAACTAGCTTTTTAGTTTTGCCCCTTTAAACTTGAGAATTGAAAACTTTTGTTTTAATTTTGAAATATTTTATTTTTAAAAATGTCTCAACGTTTAAAAAATAAAAAATTGGTTGGTGAAAACATGTTTATTGGATATGGTACTTCAGTTTTCGTATCGCTTAATGTTACATGATTGTAAGATTAAAGGTCCCCTATATTTATGTGACTTATCTCCAATCGGTTATCATTTTTTCAGAATGCTTAACACATTTTTCATAAAGCAATATTGTAAAACGAAAATGGAATAAAATTTCGCATTTATCAACTTTATTGATTAAAAAAAAATCTTCCTACAAGAAATAAATAATCTTGTTGGACTTAGGAAGAAATGTACTAAAGCAAATGAAAGTTATTCTAATTAAATATAACATCATTATAGTTTGTTCTTTCTTGCTACCTATCTCTTTGCTGACACATTTCATATGTTCCTAGCTAATAAAAAATTAATCTATATTTATTTATTAAAAATCGATATTTATTGTTCGAAAATATTCTCTTTATTTAAGTTAAATAACAAAAAAAAAAAAAAACCTGTCTGATTGTGTTGACATGTCCTGTATTTTTTTCTTTATCACTTGCTTAATTTCTGTACTGATATATTTATGCTCGTCTTTATATAATTTTTTCACTAAAATTTTAATGAAAGTTTAAGATTTGTGATGACTATTATTATAAATGATGTATTATATTAAGTAATTATAATTAAAGAGACAATGATACTGACTTATTTTTGTTTTAGATTAATTCATTTACTTTTTCTTTTGTAGGTATCATTCTATAGTTCTATCTTCAGCTCTTGATAAAGTAGCTGTGAGAGAAAAAAAACTTGAAGAGTTGAAAAGAAGTATAATAAAACAGATAAAAGAAGTGTTTGATATGTGAGTTTAGATATCATTGTTGTATTATTATCTAAAATAGTTTTTAGACTTTGATCTGTTGGCATTAATATTTTTAATTAATAGAGGATAAAGTGATGAATTATAATTGTGTGAAATATTTCCTAGTATTAAAAATTATTTAGGAACAAAAATCAATCTATTGTCCTCTTATTCCTGAAGCATAAGTTTTATGAATAATTACAGCAGCTTCAATTACAAAAAAAAAGTAGTTTTTAAATATCTGCACTTGGCGCAATCGCCAGTTGCAGATATTTCAAAATTAATAAATAATTGAATAATTGAATTAATAAATAATAATTTTCCGGGATATAGATATTTTTCCAGATATCTGAGAAAGTTAAGCATAATAATAGTGCACCAAGCCATAGCTCAGAAGATGGACTTGAAAGATCACTACTGCGTGTATTAAAATGTCACCCTGAACCAATGATCTTCAAGCGTAATGTCAAGCTGTTCTGTTTAATTGGCTAATACTGGAGGGATCTTTTTTTGCCTGAACTCGACTTAACTGTTTAGACCAATAGAAAAAATGGAACAGTTTTTGTAGGAAACTGGGAGTATTGTTGGGAAATAAATAATTTACTAATATCAGATAATTTTGAAAATATATTACTGTAATTTTGGACGATTAAATTTCGTTGTTGTGAATTACAAAGTACCATGCCATGTTTGAAACAAATAAATAGTAATGTAAAATCCATTATTCTTAGGATTTCAATTAATATCTTTAGTTTTTAAAATCCCTGTACACAGACATAAGATAACTACTATAAATGAAGAAGCAACAAATTTTAATAGATAGTTGTATTGTATTGCTTTCCAATAAACCATTTTTAAAGCCATTTTATTTTTTATTTTTTTTTACATAGTTAGTAGAATGAATAACTGCCACCGTAAACAAAACAGATGTATTTAAGAGAGATTTATGAAATTAATTCAATGCCCAGTTTAGCTGATAACTTTTTTTTCTGATATATGTGACAGTCAACAATAGCCAAATGCCAGATGATAACATGAGGGAGAGATGATAGTTTGTAGATCTGGCAATCTACTTTATCCCACTCACCTCAAGCTAAATACCTTACTTAATATCTGTGACTAATAATAATAGCAAAAGGCTTAATGAATCAGAAGTTCATTGCTGATACCACCAATCATCATCTCTAAATTTCTATCCACCAAAAGCTATCCCAAATCTAACTCTGGCAGACCAACCGTAATAAACACAGCCCACAGCCCTACCTAGATCTCGATGTATACCTCAAAAGTTAACCAGTTGAATCTCTCGGACTATTGATAAAAATTTGATGTTCTCCAACCACATTGTTTTATGTCTCCTACCAACATATTTAAAGAAAGAAAGAAAGTATATTTTATTCTGTGACACTGAGTCCCCTAAGAATAATGTTGGTGTAAAATTGCAGTGTCATTTGTCTGGTATTAAACAATAATTACATTATTATGAAATACATTACAATCAGAGACAAATAAAGAAATGAAAATAATGAATTATAGATAAATGAAGTCTGTAGATTTACTAATATGAGCTTGTAAGCTATTTAAATGGTAGGTTTAAAATAATTGATAGATATCTCTAGCATCATGAAACGTTATTCTTACATATATTCGGAAGATTGATTGTTAAGAATATGATAGAAATAGTTAAAGTTTAAATGTGGTTAGAGTTGATGATTCACCTATGGATGTGGTTAAGAAATTCCAGAACAAGGTAGTATGCACGATAAATGATTGTTTGAAGGAAGAAGTTCTATGAGGAGGAATATAAAAGTTTATAGTTTGCAATCTCATATTTGAAGAGTGAAGTGGAAGAATAAGGAGTGAACAAATTAAGAATGTAAAAAGGCTTTCTGCCAAGGAAATCTTATCTTCGGACACTTGGTTAAAGCCATTTTATTTCAGCTTACCAACTGGTGATGTAGAACAGCCTCGGAGCTCAAAAGATAAATCTAATGAAACAATTCATTAGTCTCTTTGATCTTACCTCATTCCCATCAGGCAGCATTTCCACCTTATTTATGGCAGCAATTATCAAAATAGGAGAAAATGAGAGAGGAAACTAGGGGTTGACGTGTTTTAACTGGTATGGAATTACAGAATTTTAGGAACTGTTTGAAGATAGCAATAGATTTTTGGATAATTTTAATTAAGGAAATATAGTTATCCCAGGATATTTATTGATCAAAAATTATCCCAAGGTTTCTAACACAAGTGTGGAAGTGAATGAGTAGTCCATTAATGTAGAATAAGGTTTAATAAAGAAATGAATGAAGAAGATACTTCTAACCAAAGAGAATGACTTTAGTCTTTCATTCATTTCATTCATAGTCAGTTCATTGTTTAAAGCCCATGATCAGCTATGTCTTTTTGTGGCCTCCGGGTCCTTAAGCCTCTAGGTAGGATAGAAGGATTTGAAGGAAGGTTAAATTTGAAACTTTAGAGGAAACAGAGACTTTGTTCAGAGAATGAATTGTGATTATTCTATTGTGTTTTATATTGTGTCCAATATTTTTCCTGAAAATTCTTTTTACTTAAGCATTTAATTTTTTTTTTTTTTTTTTTTAAATTACATACTGTAAAATAAGCATGTGTAATTTTCTTCAAGATAAGTCCATTATTATTTTTACTTTTAAATGCAAAATAATCTTATGCAGTAATATTATAAACAAGAAGTAGATTGTTAGAAGCAGATTTTTAACTCAAAATTGAATATACAAACATCCGGAATATTCTATAACAATGAAATTATGAAGGAATTTATTAAACCTTCAATAGTCTTATTTGATAATAATTTTGAAGGAACCCTACACTAACATAAATAACTATTGAGGCTTTGATAAATTCCTAAAATGTATTTATTTGCATTAAACTTTTTCATCTTACTTATTTAACTTAGTTTTTTATTGAGACAGAACAATTTTATTTAATATCCATGTTAGAGCTCATAATATAATTTTTTTTTTTTTCATTTTTAGGGTCTATGATCTTGTAAAAAAAAGGTGCCGGGAACTGATGATAACTGCTGTTACGAAAACAAATGAAAAACTAGCTGAATGTAATAATGGAAGAACTGAACTTCAAAAGGATCTTCGCTCATTAAAATTGTGTCTTACATTTGTCAAGTCAGTTCTTTACAAGAGCTCAGACTCGGTTATATTCTATACTAAAGAGTAAGTTTTATAGAATGATTTGCAAAAATATATACATATATTAGTGATACTAATAAGTTATTATAAGAGGTGGGTAGTAAATCAAATTAATAAGTGTGATATCTGAAATTGAAATTTTCCCTACATATTAAACATAATAGATGTCCAATTTTCAGTTTGAAAGGAGCATAATTTATGTATTACAGTAGAATTCTGATATTTTGTAATAATGAGAAGTTCTAACCAAAAATAAGTAATAATTTAAAAAAGTAATGAATAACAATACAAGGTGTTGAAGACCAAACTGATGTATCCAAGAACTCCTCAATAAGTACCCACATATAGAAGAATGTTTGAAAAAATAGTTTGCTCAAGCATGAAATGCCAACATATTGCTTGGAAGAAATTTTTATAGAAATATAGAGATAATAATAATAAGTTGTAGCGAACCCGAAGGTTCGATGCCGATACCACCAATCGATGTCCACATTCTTCCATCCACCAGGCTTTGTCTAAACCCAACCCCGTCAAATCAGTCTTAACGCAATCCACCCATCTTTGCTTTGGTCTACCCCTCAGACGCTTACCAGGCGGTACAGCGCGTATTAACTTTTTAGGAATACTTTTGTTACTAAGCCCGCCTATTTTACATGCCCATTTTATTCGTCTTAACTTATTCACCACAATTATATTAACCGGATACCGTTCACTCAATTCAGCATTGTGTAACTGCCTAAATTCTCTAGTTGACTCGTCCTTTTTCGGTCCGAATATTCTGCCCAATACTTTATTTTCAAAAAATTTAAGACATTGCTCATTCCTTAATGTAAGCGGCCACGTTTCGCATCCATAAAGAACTGTAGGTAAGATAATGGTTTTGTAAATTCTAATTTTTAAGTTTCGGGACAGGAAGCGAGATAAGTAATTTTGACAAAAAAAAAAAATTAATAAGCATTTGTAGTAAACAGCTGACATATATGTAGAAAAAAATTTGGATTAAAGAATTTCACTCAATGGACAGTCTAGTTGGAAGTTTTTGTTTTTGTTCTCCCCTTCCCCGCAATTTAGGCTATATGGGGTTTCCTTGGGCCAGGAGGTGAAGGCAGATGATTAATGCCAGAATTAATCATCTGTATCATTACCCTCCTCCCCCCCTGGTACTGGGACGCTTACTCGTAACTATTTTATCAAGTAATCTTCCATCAGGCTGCTGGGCAACGCGGTGCTGTGCACATACGTCAGCCCGCTCAGCCACCCCACTCCTCAGACTAGTTGGAAGTACTATTGATGGATAAACTCATATGTCCTGTCTAAATTAAAAAGCAATTGTTGATGAAGCTATAGAAGTATACCTACCTTTTCCTGTGTTATTTTTTTTTAGATCACCTGTTTGAAAGCAAGAAGAATTGGGACCAATTTATACTAGATATTGTGTATTTTAATCAAGCTTTTTTATTAATTTTGTTATTTCGTATTTTTTATTATTAACACACATCATTGGCAATTCTAATAAATTGAACATGTTTATAATTCATTTAACTGTCTGCTCCTTGACAAAATTATTGGGGGTTCTGCTGTATCTATTAAATAAAGAAACTATTTCTCGACAATATAAAGGAGTGTTACAAATGACTTACCGTCCATTTAGGAAGTCAGCATTTCCTAGATTATCTATTCTCCTGTTTTGCATTGATGATTAAAGTTGGATGTATTTTGACTGCACTTGAACCATCGTAGTCTAGCATTATAAAGCTTAGTGCCCAGTGATCCAGGTCCAACTTCTGCAAATGCTCATCACTGCAAATGAAGACGTCTAAATTTTAGTTTAATTAATACTTAAAACTCTAACATTTGTTTTTCTGATCTGATATAGCACTTCAGGGAAATAAAAGTTGGTAAGGCTTATCTTTTGCATCAAAAGGGTGATAATAGCTGGACAAATGTAATTTATATTAATTTGTTATGAAGGCAGGCAATAGAAAAAAAAATCATTTTTTGTAACTAACCGAATTTTTTTCTCTTGCTTTTTTTATTTGAAAACTCAAACACTTGGTTTGGAATGAGTATGCATTTGATAGAAATCATTAAAAGGTTAAAAAGTTGTGAGGCATTCATAAGATTAGTGTTATTATTAGTGAGTGATTTTTTCAGATTTCAGATGAGATTTAAGAATGTCTTTCTTGATAGGAACAGTTTTTTATAATAGATAATTAATTAGATGAAGGCAACTTATCAGAATTGTGGCTACTTTGATTTACTACATCATCCACAAGATACAAAATTGTATTGAAATAGCTTACAATCACTTATCGCACAAACTACTATTATTTCAACCGATTAGATTGCCTTTATCCCTTTCTTTGTATGTCAAGCCACCGATTTATTATAATTTATTCCAAAAAACAGTTCAATGGCAGCATATCTTAACTTGTGAACAGATCGCTCTTAAGTCAACAGAACTGTTTATAGAGTTGTCTGGAATTAAAATTAATACAATTTAAAGAATATTGAACTACATTTTTGTTATTGTTGATGATTTTATTTGTTCAATTTTTTTTTAGTCTAATGTTAAATCATATGGAAAGAATACGAACAAAAAGTAAAGTTCCTAGCGCAGTTGATGTAATCAATCTGAGATTTATGCCTGAAAACATGGACACTCTTAAATTAGGTTGGTATTAGGGTAATTGATTTTTATTTTTTTAAATCTTAACATTTCTATCAATACATTTTTGTGTTTTTAAGGTATTTGTAATTTTGGTGCACTGTCTGAAGCACCAGACATATCTGAAGCAGACACTAGTGTATACTGGCGAAGTGTCTTTATGACACTCATGTCGACTTATTCCGACCAACTTATTGGACGTAGAGATGCTGCTCAGTTACAACCATCGAATCAATCTTGGCAACAGTTAACCGCTGAACTTAATGATCATCTTAAGCAACAGACATCTCCACAACCGCATCACCCATCACAGCAACATCAGCAACAGTTACATCAACAACAACAACAACAACAGCAGCAGCAGCAACAACAACAACAACAACAACAACAACATCAACAACAACTACAACAGCAGCACCAACAGCAACAGCAACTTCTTCATCAGCAACAGCAACAACACCAGCAGCGTTTGCAGGAACAAATGCTTCAGCAAATGCATGCAAAACAACAGCAGCAGCACCAACAACAAATGAAACAACAGCAAATGAAACAACAGCAACAACAACATCAACAGCAGTTAAAACAACAACAACAACAACAAGTTATTCCACATTGGCAGAGGGTACCACCATTACCACAATTTAGACAAGGTAGTGTTTTAAGTATATATTTATAAAGGTTTTTAGTTTGTTTTTTCGAGAAATAAGATGCTTATTGATGGAAGTTAGTCGACTGTTCTACATACCATGGGTGATAAATATTCAGGACGCAGTCATTTTTAACGTTTTTATTAGTGCCGACGTTTCAACCCAAACTTGTTGGTCATCATTCAAGTACTTGAATACCTTCAGTGCTCAAAACACGTCCTGATGATTACCCTCATGTTTGGGTTGAAACATCGGCATTAATAAAAATGTTAAAAATGACTGCGTCCTGAATATTTATCACCCATAATAAGATGTTTGGTCCACTCAGATATTAAATAAATAAATTATTTTTGAAGAATTAATATTTGAAAAAAATTGTTATGGCAGTTTAAAATTTTAATTATTACAAATATTAAAAACTTATAGAAATTAATTTTTGAATAATCATGAGACTTTTACTCTAAAAGTCATTATTATAGATAATTGAATATTTTATAAGACTTCTTTAAAAACAAAATAAATCTATAGATTATACTTAGTTCAGTTATGGATAAAAAGTAACTTAAGTTATCCATTGACTTCAACATAATTGATAAAAAGTAATTTCTGATTCAATTACAAAATAATTATTAATTTATAGATCGCATTTCTCCCAGCCAGCAAAACAATGGCCAGCCTAAACAGATGCATCAAAACCTACAAAACAGTGTTTCTTCTTTGCGACAGGTATAAACTATTCTAAATATTCATTAAAGCTTTCTTGAATTGATAATGTTTCTGAGGTGTACAGTAATACATAGCTATTCATTCATTCATTCATTCATAGCTATTTATTTTTAGGATTTTTCATTGTTGGAACGGTTAGTACTATTTATTATTATTATACATTTTTACTTTCCTACTGTAGCCAAGTAATGAAAGTATTGGAATTAGGTATAATTTTTTATATGTTACTTTCAACAGATCTTTATATTTTAGAACCGCCTTTTGTCCAAAAAACACATTTTCAGCCACTGTTTCTGTTAATTATTCACAATTATCTCTTGAATGGGTAGAATGCTTGAGTATTCCATGTCTAAACTTCATTCTAACAAAAAAAAAAATTTTTTTTTTAGTTGGCCCCCTTCATTTTGGTTTCTTGGTTTATTTTCTTATATCTAAAATAATTCCGATTTCAAATTATTTACAGTCCTCACATCTGTTAATTATCATTTGTTAAGGGTCATTACCTCCCTTATATTATTTTCTTTACATTTTTTTGTAGTATTTTTTATTTAGATTGGATTCAATATCTAGTAAGTCTAGTGGCATTCTTTAACTAATTCCTCCGTTGTCAAGATTTGAAAATTACTTTGTATAACAAACTTCTGCCTCTTCTATTTAAATATGGTAGCTTTTCATGATCTCAGCATATAAATATGCGTCCAACCTCTATTCTCCTCCTCACCAAACTGCTGCATTTGATAAATCCTTTTTAATACAAGTTGTCTCCCTCTGGAACTCTATACCTTCAGATTCGACACGCAAAATCGATATCCTCATTAAAATCTCTCCTCTTCGAACACCTACTCCATTCCCAATCCAGTTGATCACGAAATGCACCTAAAAACCTCAAAGTACACCCGGATACTCTGATTATTTTGTAATTCACCAATATTTCGTTCACTTAATTAATTTCTGAGTATATCTTGTATTTACACGTATTTATATCTTTTCATCATTTATAACTTCATTGTACTCCGAATCAACCTATAAATATCAAATAGTATTTCATGGACACACCAAAATATTGATATATAATCTGTATTTGTGATTTGTTCTAAAGGGACACTAGTCCCAGAATAATAAAATTATTTTCATTTCATAAATATCTGCTTTGCCAATATATTTACAAATTGATTTTTCAGTTTTCTGATTCATTTTACGAAATTGGATTTTTTCTAGAAGCTCAATTTTTAAAATGTATTTTATAATGAGTATATACAATTCTGACTGATGTTTTTAGAAGGTATTAGAATAATTAAGCAATTAGAATGCTCTATTTTTCTTGCATTTCCTGAACTGATTGAATTCCAAAATTCTGGTGATGAATTTGTTTTTCCAATAAAATTACAGATGTTGAATATTGTTTTCATTCAATTGTCAACTTGAAATCATATGATTAAATTTAATCTGTTGTTAAGTATCTTACATTTGACATTCGTGACATTTCTCGGTCATTTTGCCAAAAAATAAATAAAAATTCCCTTTACAAAATATAATGTTATTAGTAATAAGCACTTATTTTTTCATAATTATGCATTTAAAAACAATTTTTAATTTTAACAATTTAAGAGAAGAATTGTTTTTATATTTTATATTTTATAATAAAAAAAATAATTATAAAGTGGAATATTATTTCCATTAGATGTATCTAATAATGAATTTATATACTTGAATTGTAAGAAAAACAAATAAATAAAAACAGTGAGCTGAAGAAAGATTGAAGTTTTTCAAATAATCCACACAAAATAATTTTTCATTAATTATTATTCTGCTACTTAAAGAGTTTTTAATATTAAAGTTTTGAGGTAAATTTCTAATGATAGCAGATATAGATAGATTAAATTAACTTACATGACATTTAAATAATTTTATTCTTTGAACTAATCCTGAAGCATTTATTTTTTAAATCCTCTTAAATCTTGAAGTAGTATAATGATCATTTTCTTCTTTTCGCTGAACTAATATGCTTTTTTCCTTGTATCATCCAATGTTCCTTAAAAAAAATAAATATTTTTTTTTACTATTAATTTGCATCATTCTCAAAAAACAAAAGTGAAATATATTTAAAAACAACTGTTATTCAGTTGTTACTTGGAAACATATGATTAGTATTTATAATAATACATGTGGCATTATTAACAAATGACTGCTTAATCCATTGATCCCTTCCATTCTCTTAATCCATTGATCTCTTTCATTCTCTGATTTTTTCTTGAATGGACATTCTTTTTCATACTTTCATTCACACTTTTAATATACATTTTTTAAACAATTCAATTAAATAAACCTCCTTACTTGTCTTATTGAATTTGTTAGTGTTTTAAAATGGATGTGCCTTTGACAAATGGATTTTGTAAGTTAACAGTCTACATTTCATTATCAGCAATACGTTTCAGAGTTTATTTATCAGTTTTAAATATTTCTGGTCTTAGGAAACATACTTTAGTTTAAAGGAAAGGTGAGCTTAAAACTAACTTAATTAGCAACTTCAAGGGTGGTAGCTAGTTTTATAGAAAAATAAATTTAGATACTAGTGCCTGGTAAAAAATACATTATTCCATTAATAACATAAAATTTGTCATTGAAAACACAAATGCAGGACTTGTTTAAATAAAAAGATGTAGAGACAAAAAATATTCATAATTGGAAAGTTAAAAGAAAAACTGTCTTCATCAATCTATTGAAAAGTAGATTTATTCACATTAGTTACTTGAATAGGGTGGCGACAATTAACTAATTAAATAGACTATTCAATATTTTAAAGCATTCTTGCAATATAAGTTTAAATAAAATATTATTATTTATTGTATTTGGAATACTATTGTAATCCATGTTGTCTGATTTATGTGCTAAACTTATAGTCTGGTTGACACTGTGCTTTATACATAAAAACAAATAAATCTATGTATTCATCCCACTGTTTCATTTGTTCTTTTTCTTCTTCTTGTTCTTCCCATTTTGGGAAGTAATATGTGATGTTCGGTTTTCCTTAACCATCGTAAAAGATGTCAGGGGACTATGTGCACCTTTTGGCCAACATCTCCGACTTCTGCGTCATTTGTAGGATTTGTTCCATCGCAGTTGATTATCTGGTCAGGAACCAGCCGACTCCTATCGTCTTCGGCTCTATGCCAGTACTAGTAGCACTGCTGCCTGCTACCAGGCATTTATCGACCTCCCAGTCTAGATCCGCTGTGTTCAGTCGAAAGCAGGGTCACCTCGGGCAGGATGCGGTTCTTCACCGCGCACGGACGGTGTTGGCAATAGCTATCTCAAGGTCTCCACTTACAGTTTCTCAGGCCTCTCGGCCTACTCCCCTGGTCTTGAGTGAGGACCAGTTTCAAGGTCTTCCCTTGCTAAAGATACTACCTCTCCTCAGCATCTTGACCCCATTTTATTTGTTTTCATCATTCTATGTAATGTCATTTGATTTGATCTGCGTGAGACTGAAAACATATATTATGATATTTTTTGTAATCCTTTTGAGCCAATAATCATATTTTATTTTATGTTTATTGTTTCTTGATAGAATATTAGCCGTTATAGCAACCTTGTTTCTTAAGTTTATGAAAACTGTAATATTTATAAAAATAATCATTACTCAGTTTTTAATTTGAAACAGATATAACTTTAAATTACAGTGCTTATGAAACCTAAGTGTTTACTTATGTAAATCAGTTTGTAAAACCTCACCAGATTAGAATTTCTCAGACAACTGTTTTAGGCAACAGGTTTCATTTTCAAATTTATTTAGAATTGTTAGGTTATTCTATGAAATATATACTGTCTCTTCTTTTATCAAGAAAACATATAATAATTATGTAACATATGGTCAAAATTAACCTGCTGTCATGCTTGTCAAATGTTTTGTTAAATTTTAGTGTGTTGTTTATTTATTTTTTTTAAATTTCCAAAATGCTGGCATTTAGAAAAGAAAATTACATTAATGACATATTATTGACCTTCAGGTTTTATTGAAGGCATTGCATTTATTTGTTTGTTTGGGCTTTGAGGCGTAAAACCCTAGGGTCATCAACACCTGAGTATTGCATTTGTTGAAATTAGTTTAGTATTGTGTTTGCTATTGCACTGTGAATAAGGAAGAAAATATCATTCATTATCGACATATTTTGTTGTATTATTTTAAAAAAGTAAGCGTACTGCATAAGCTCAAAGAAAAATTTGCACTGTTTATGGGGATGATGCCTTAACGAAACGCACCTGTGAAAATTGCTTTGCCAAATTTCATTCAGGAAATTTTGACATCAATGATGCTTAGTGGTCTGGTTGCCCACATGAAATTGAAACGAGCAATGTTAAAGCAATGTTTGTTGATCAAAATCCCATCCAATCAGTGCGAGAGATTGCTATGACCCTAAATGTGTTGCTCACAAGCTTAGAAAACCATTTGCACAAGCTCGGCTATGTTTCCAGGCTTAATGTTTAGGTCCCTCCATGATTTTTTTTTCGAAAATCACAAAAAATGTTATAACTTCATTATGACTTTAGCTATCTACAAGAAATTTAGCAGGAATTTAGGGCCACATAAACTACACAAAATGACATCAACAGGACCTTCATAAACAAACTACAAATGGAGATAAAACCTATAAGAAGTTTTTGTTTATTTATTCCTTATATAGCCATTAAATAAAAAAAGAACATTCATACGGCTTTGAAGAGCAATAATTCAGCTTTCCAACTGATACAGTAACATCGAATTCGGAGAACATTTTGGAGAGTTATGAATGATAAGAAGGATGTTGTGTTTCACCAAGATAATGCTAGGCCACACACCTCATTGGTCACTCTCAATAAATTATTGAGCCTTGGATGGGACCTTTTGCCACACCCTCCCTATTCACCGGACCTAGCTCCAAGTGACTACCACTTATTTCGGTCTCTGCAGAACTCCATGAATGGAATAAAATTCCAAAACAAAGAGGACATCAAAAACCACTTGGATCAGTTTTTTAACAATAAACTCCAGAAATTCTATGAACATGGCATTATACAGTTAGTGGTAATATGGGAAAAAGTCATAGTAAATAATGCTCAATATATTGTAGATTAAAATAAATTTGATGTCTGTAATACATCGAGTTTTATTTCATCCCGAAAAACCGAAAGGAATTATTTGCCAACCCAATATATAAGACAAATATAAAATTTTTGTTTTTTAATACTTACATTCCTGAGAGGAATAGATGTCTGAAGAAATCAGTTACTGATTACCCTTGCCAAATATCTGTAACAACACAATCTGCAAAAACAAAAAAAAAAAAATATGTTTTAATTTCTTTTACAAATTTTTTTGCCAATACATCAGTTAGATCATAAAATATTACTATGTATACTACGGTAAGTATAATCCATATTTTCGCTAAATAAAAGTATATACATACGCATCTGCAGAGTATGTAGTTACTAATTGATTTTGATAAAAAAATATAATCTAGGAGGTCAACAGGATGACCTCCCACTCTAGTATGTGCTACAGATACCTTTTTATCAAATCATTAACATCCATCTGAAACTTCGTAAATAGCTTCATCTCTTCGTAATCTACAAATATTTTATGTACGTAAACTCTTGGAATTGTGGCATTTTCAATCTGGAGATTGGCAAACTTTATCTATTTATTTTGGGGTCTAAAACTTGTAAATACTCATTTGCTTTTCACTTGGATCGTAAGATAATTTGATCGCAATATTGAGGAAAAAGATGGCCTACAAAAATATTGGGCCGTTTGGTCTATATAACCTAGTTATTTTGAAATGTTGGGGGTGTAGGTCACACCAAATGGTCTAATATTTTTGTAGGACATCTTTTTTCTCGGTTTTGTGATCCAATCTTACAATTCAAGTGGAAAGCAAATGAGTATTTACAAGTTTTTAGTATCTAATTAAATTGACAAAGTTTGCTGATATCTAATTTAAAACTCCCAATTCCGAGAATTTTTGTAAGTAAAATAGTTGTAGATTACGATGAGATAAAGCTATTTACAAATTTCAGATGGATGTTAATAATTTGATAAAAAGCGGTTCGTACCACGGACTACTCCTATTAGGTGGGAATATAAATAACCATCATCGTCTGTGGGGTAGTATAGACACCAATGAGCCTTGTTATTATATACAACTTCAGCAAACTTAAAAATTCTAGATAAAGGCACTGTGGCCACTTATGTGATCAAAGCTAGACGTGAGGTCTTAGAGTTACTTATATTGCTAAATAGAAGTACATACATATACATCTGCAGATTATATAGTTACTAATTGATTTTGATAAAAAATATAATCTAAGAGGTTAACAATATATATTCCTGTGAGAATAATCTAATTATTAAATAAATAAAAATATTGGTTGAAGAACTATTATTTAAAGTTTTGATTCATGTAATGCTTTCTTCTGCTAGATTATTTTTAGGTTGGGAACCCGTAACAGGTATAATATTCTGACTAAGAAGTCTTGTCTGATTTAGGGGGAGAGCCATGCATTTAAAACCTCCCTAGAACATCCTCCTTGTTATGGATTAAAATTATAAAACAATTAGTTAGTTTTCCATGTGCTCAAAACTTCATATTTGATTATAAAATCAGATATTTGCATCGTCAAATGTTTGTTTCTTCTTCTCTGAGATGCTGAACAGAAGCTTTTCTCCAAATTGAAAGATATTTTTCTCCAGTAATTCATGCCTCAAGCAACATTTTGATATCCAAGTGATCGTAATATTTCTTTTAATAGTGGATGATTCATCAATTGACGATACCAGTTCTGAAATTAGTTACTGTTAAACCTTATTATTGGCACCATTTTATTTCTTTCATAGCTGGTAAAGATTTTCAAATTCTAACTATTTTTCATACAACGGCTTCGTTTTAATAGTGTTGGAAATTTGAATGTTTGTGCCTACAAGCTATGATTTTGCGGAGAACATTAGTTTTCTGTTACCATTTATAGAAAACTGCTGCAGAGTTGCATCAAATGCATGGATGGCAATGCTTATGGTGAGCATGCTCTTGGTAAAAAAATGTGCTTTGAGTGGTTTAAAAATTTTAAAAGTGTCAATTTTGACATGAAGAATGAAGGACGTTGAAGGAGGCTGTGATCTATTGTGAGCTGCTAAAACCTGTTGAAACTGTAAATACTGAACGAATCAACAACATATGATTGATTTGAATTGAGCATAAAAAATTACCAGAATATCAAAAAATACAACACAAAGCGATTTTGTTATATGATAATGTATTGGCACACAAAACAAATGAAGAAAATGATTGAGGCATTCAGTTGGGAAATAAGTGCATGCGACTTACCAGACTTATCTTCATCCGACTACTCAATGGGGTATGTACTTGCACAGCAGTGTTTTACTTCTTTTGAAAATGTATGAAAGTGGCTTGATAATTGGCTCGCTACAAGAGATTAATAGTTTTCTGGCATGGCATTCATAAATTGCCAGAGAAATGGGAAAAATCTATAGCATTTTACAATATTACAAATAATACATTTTTAAACAATTCTTTTGGTTCCATATTTACACACCTGATATCAGAACTAAAACCTAATATTCTTTTATAGTATATAATATTCCTTTAATGCCTTCCAAATTTCTTGTTTCATGTAAGTAATTCTACAAAAGCTAATGTGTCGTATTTTGATTAATGTATTAATTATTATTGTATTCAATTTTGTTTTATATTAAAATTATTCCCGAAGCTCACATTTCATGAGACAAAACTAGATGTTAAATGTCAAAATGACATTTAATAATAAAAATCATTTCTTTTGTTTGTAGAGCCCAACGTTACATGGCAATCAGCAGGTTGTCTTGGTCTCCTACGGGGCTCAGGGCCAGTTGCAGTCTGGAGGCATCCAAGGCCGAGGCAGCAATAATTCAGTGCCTGTGAATAACTGTCAACAGATGATGCGAGGGTCTCCCTTACAGTCCCAGATGTCTCAGCAGTTGCCTCTTCAGCAGTGCCTCCCCCCTTCGACCAATCATCAAGTTCTACCTAATGGCCTACATCACAGGATCGCTAGCCAAGCCAATGCCGTTGCTCAGCAACAAATGGCAGCACATGTCATGCAGCAAAGAGTAGGGCAGATGCAACATATATACAGGCCTAATAGTGTTCAACAATCTGCGATGATTGTTAGGACCCAAGCCAGTCTGCAGGCTCAACCCTCTATACGTTCTCCACCTATAAGAACCATATCTCCTACTGTGGTATGTAACTTTAATTACTTAGTGAAGTTATATTTTTTTTAGATTAATTGAGTAATTTTGTGTTTTAAAGTTATGTTTTATATTCATCTATTTCTTTAATTTTTTTTAAAGCAATGAACTAGAAAACAAAGAATTATTTTCTTGAAATTTCATTTTTTATTAAGTAAAATACTCTGACTTTTGAAATCATTAGTTCTTATTATAATCTGATTTTTAGTCTAATTTTTGTTAAAACAAATTTAATTTTCAAAGTTAATAATGATTCTCTTTAACAATTTTCAATAAGCACAACTCAGAAGTTTCCACTGTTTTTTTTTTCAAACTTTTTAGAATTTAGATATTCCCTTTACATTAAAAATGATCACGAATTTTCATAAAAAACAAAAATACTACTATATTTCCTCTACATTTTTTAATGATATACTTAAAACAAAGATTGCTCCACTCAAAAATTTTCTACTGATATAATTTTTATTTTTAGTCTCTGCATCGAACAGGACCTACAGTAAGACCAGTAAATACGGCTCGGCTACCTATGAGCCAGCCTGAACGGATGCCTACTCATCAGGAAAGGGTCCCCGCACTTCATCAAGAAAGACTCCAGCTTCACCATGAGCGGATTCCACAAGGACATCCAGAACGTGGCCAACTCGGGGTGAAATACCCCAATGCCCCAAATCATCAAATGAGCGAACATCCAAACAGGGCACCTCCTCCTCCATATTCGTTCCAGGTTAGTTGAATTATCTGGTTTCATTTTGCCTTTTAACTAAGTTTTTTTTTTTATTGAGCAAAAACATTAATCAATAAATACTTAGTTTGATCTTCTAGTATGGAAAATCAGTATTTGAAACGGGTGGGTTAATTAAGAATTATTTCATGTTAAGTACTAGACTTGTCTTCCATGGATATTATAAGGTCTAGAAATGCGTTTTTCATGGATATTTTTAGTTATTTATTTTTCTCTCTTATTTCATAACATATTTATATAGTACATCACTGTTAAAATATTTTGTTAAATTTTTTTTTTACTTATTTAAGTTTTATGGATGACTGGTTCAGTGTCCATTAGTGCATAAATAGATATTTTATTGATTTTAAGCTCTACAACTTGAAGCAATGGGTAGGTTAAGGCATATACATCATATCGAAAGTCTGTTCTGGCGCATATTAATCCCACAAAATGAAATCTATGATATTTCATTTCTTCTCTACGGCCTTTCTTAAAATGCTGTAAGTCAACAACCAGCACATTGTGATGTAAAAACCTGTAAGTTACATTGAAGGTTATAGATATTGTGTTGTTACTGAAAAAACTTATTGAAATGCTCAATGAAAGGTGGTCATGTAAATATAGAATGCATAAAGCATTTTGTGCACAGACTGCAGCATCAATTAGCTTTATTAATAGGTTAAAATTAATTTTTCTCATACGCTTTGTATTCTATTTTTTAAATTTCTTATAAGTAGTTTCCAGCTCTTAGAAGCATAGAGGAGAGTGTTAAGTGGGAATATGATACTGAAAAGCCTTCATAACAACCGAAACTTACTGAAAAATGAGCTTGACTGGAAAAAAACGATACGATACCACCAATTTCCAGATAGTGAGAGACAGAAAATTGAAAAATTTAATTCGAGAAGAAAAAATAACTCTAGTTTCATTGTAAATGGATCTTTTCAAACCATTCAATTTTCGAAATCGCAAGCTCAGAAACAGAATGATCTACTCATTAGCAGATTATCTAGAACTTATCAAGAATTCATGAATCAAACCATGTCCAGATGAAGTTGAGTAAATTGTTAAAAAAAGTGAATAGCCCGTGTGATCAATTACTCGCTTTTCAGTCAAATGTTTTACAAATTTTCATTTGAAGTATCGTTTCTCTATATTTTGGAAACTGACTTTGTTCCTCTCATGATTTGATTATTATTAACAAAGTTATGGGTATTACTACAATAAATTTGATTGTTTTTACCTAATTAATATCAGTTTTTAAAAGTAACTAAAAAGCTATAAGTTAGAACTAACGGCTCTATAAGATTATTTGGCAGAAATGCGATAAAAAAAGTTACATAGAATATTACATCTTTGTCTTAGGCCTGCAAAACAAATTGAACCAAAAGTATAATGTTTATAGAACAAAATTATGCGTTTTTTTTCCTTTTCTGAAAATGTTTAGTTTTTTTTTCTACAGACTTTTGTAGTTTGGCTGTCGATATATTGGTTACAGTAATCATACTTAAAGTAAAAAACAAAACAAAAAAAAACAAAAGAACATGAATAAACAAAAATAAGTAGAAATAGTTTTCTTAATTAATTTTAACAATAAATGTTTGTTCATTATTAGATAGTTTCACGGTTAGAATATTGAAAAATTTCTCTTAAAATTTTGAATTTTATAAAATTTCTTTGTGAAAGACAGGATTTCAATCGTAGACTTAAATCAATATCTGGCAAAATTATATTTCATCATAATAAAAAAAAATCTAGTGCGTGCATCACACAACTTTCACTTACCCCACCCTCTTCTCAGCAGAAATAAGTATTTTTAGACAAAGGAGATGTGAAAGCAAAATTTACAAATGCTACATTGATTTATATTTCATTGTGGATATTTTTATTTTTATAAGTACCCTTATATGTATAAATTTCAATATTTTACATCGCTGTAATCTATACAATTCAATATTAAATAATACCAACTATAGCATCTATGAAAACCGCATATGTATATTCACATAATATTGTCGGAGTCCTTATTATATTAACCTCATGTTACCTATGAAAGCCTGTTATAATCTTTCGGGCGCGCTCGCAATCCTTTGGTTCCTTAATTACAACTGTTCTCCATTACGATCTCTTGTTTCCCGTTAATTAATTATCAAATTCTTTCATATTTTATTTTTAACTATCTGTCACATTAGAGATTAATGTGAAATGGTCAATTGTTTCAAATAAACAAAATTAAAGGTACTTTAGAGGAAGCTAATATTGAAAATCAGCCATTTAAGTCCTGTTAGAAAACATCAATCAGAATAAAAACAACACTTTATTTAAAACTGCTTAATTTTACACTGATATAATGAATTTAATCAAAATCATTTGAGCTGTTTTCGAGAAAATCGCAAAATTTTATTTAGTCCATTATATAAAGTGTCACTTCCGGTTAGCCGATTTTGGTGAAAAGTTGCTGTAACCTCTCTAGCATATAACAACCTTAAATATGCAATTTCATTTGCATACGACTTCATTTTGAGCCAGACTGTTTACAGACACATATAGAAATACACACAAACACACACACATACAGACCATTTTGCGGGACTTGGTTATTTGGACTCAGGGGACCTCAAACGTGTATTTAAAGTCCCCTCTGGCACCGGGATGCGAACTCGTACTTTTCTTGTCTCTCAAATCTTCATATATCTGGTTGCCAGGCGACTCGCGGTGCAGTGCACACGCTTTAGCCTATTCGGCCACCTTGCCCCAATATAAGTAAGTGACTACTGAGTCTCACAGTTTCTCACGGGGCATGGGAGTTTCTGAGCAAAGCTCGTTGAGTATGGTAAGAATGTTGATCTCCTACGCCCAAGTTGCAGAGTACCGGAGACCGCCGAGCATATCGTGCTAGTCTGTACTGCTTTTGAGGCACTGAGAGCCAAGTTGCTGAGGGAGACGGGACTTTACTCTCTGGCGGAGAGCGTCCTCCCTCAACTAATGACTTATGTTTTCAAGTATTATTATCTAATAATATTTTCTCAATATTAATATTTTATTACTCTTATTAGTTAATTTAATGTATTTAAAGGAGTGATTTAATAGAGAAAATGTCTTTTTTTTACATGAAAACTGATTTTGCGAATTTTATTTTCATAATCTTTTCAGCTTTTAAGAATTTTAGTGTTATGTCTGAACATCTGATAGTTACCACTTCTGCTTATTACATTTCATCCAGGCAAATGTTGTTTTTTTATTTCTATAAATTTACAAATTTAAGCACCAATTCATTCATTTATTCAAGCTAAAATGTTTTTTTTATTAAACTTTTAATCGCTGCTTTATTGTAATTAAGAACTTTGATGAATTTCCCTTTTGTGAAATCAGAAAATTGTGAACGTGGTGTAAATATAAGGGTGCCTCAGTTCTCAATGGCCAAAAACTGTGGAGGATGATTCTAGACAAAATTTCCAACAAAAATTCAGTCGAAATTCATAAAGGCATATTTGAAAGTTAATCTGAATCAAAAAATGCACTTAGCAACTTTTTGCATAATACCTACGATATTATGTTTTATTCGATTGACGTGGTGGCATTCATAGACATAGTGAGTATATATTGAAACTTAATCAAGTTTCTATTACAGAAAAGTTCCTGAACTCAGTGTTGATTTTAGGAACTTTCCCTATCTGTTATATTTATGATTAAGTTAATGTCAGCTCCAATGAAAAATAAAAATTTGTGTGCTTTGAATTGTAACTTCTTGATGCGACCTATCAATGCCAGCAAGACTGAATTTTCAATAATGTAAAATTCAATCTCATTTAAATTTCTCAAATTCAACAGGTATTGAGCACTCACTGTTACTCGAATACACTCAGCGACGCCATGGTGAAGGGATGTACTTTCTGTTTAACTTACTAACTGTTTCCATCATCTATTTTTCAAAAAATGCCTCAAGATTTAAATTAATTTTTAAATTCTGTTTTCACTTCCCTAGGAAATATCACATTCAGCTCAAATATTTGTAGTTAGTCGGTGAATGGTAGCTCTACTCATTTCTATACCTTCTTTTTTTTTTTTTTTTTTAAAGTCCTTAGGATTACTTTTCATAGCAGTGATTTTATGTTGAATATCATTATTTAATACATTTTGGTTTCATCTATTTATGTAAGCCAAAAATAAATGAAAAACTGGTTTTATATTAACAGATCCCATTGAACTATGGTGGAAACACACAGGTTGCTATTGTGGAGTTGAAGTCGATTGTACAACCTCAAATGAATATTAGTAGGCAGGCACCGCAGAAAGTTTGTTAATTTTTAATTGAGAATGCTAATAAAAACACTAATGATTAATATGTTAATGTTGACATCACATTTTCATTATGTAATGTTCTTCTATCCAACTTCATTCTTTTCAGGCATAAGTTTGTCCTTCAACTAACTGTGTTCATTGATAAACTTTCAATCATTTAAGCGATTATTTAAAAACAATTATTTTAATTTGTAAAATATAATTGTTTCTTATAATTATGGTGTAATATGATTGGAAATTTTATATCAAGGAAGATTAAATCTTCTAGGCTTTTCTACAATTTCCCCATGAAGAAGACTTAGTGTATTCTTCACAATAGTTCCAACTCTAGAAGAAAATAAATTCCTGGTAGGCTATTCCTATTGCATTCATTGCTAGAAGCGCTCAGATTTTTATATAACAGTCATGTCTACATAAAAAGAAATCGCCTGCTGGTTGGTCTGGTGGATAGAAAAAGTTCTATTTTTAATCCTTTTTTTTAAATATCAATATCTCAATCAAAGGATAGAGACCAATTGTTTGGAGAATGATTACCTCTTTTCTAAACTTTGGACTATTTTTTAATGAGCTAGGTTTTTACAACTGATGATGTAGTATAAAATAGATTTATATAATAGAACATAAATTCTTTCTAGAAATTAATTATCTTTAAATTAATTCTAAATAATTTTAAATAGAAATTGAAAAATTTGTTGATAAGGAGAAAGGCAAATAGAAGCTTAAAAGCAGTTTCAAAAGAAGTGATTGAAATAGATTTCTTGGTTCACGAAAAATTTACATTCCAATTGATACAAATAAGGCATAGTAATCATAATATTAAAAAAATAAAATGGTGGTGATTAGAATAATTTTTTGTTGATATTTCATAACTTCTGTAAAAATGGACATAGTTGGTGGAGGATGTAATTTCCTTTTTGATGTTTACTCATTTAATCTATTTTTCTATAATTTAAGTCTCTGGCGTCCTCTGAAAAAGTTAACCTACTAACAAAACTTGTTTTTGTGTTCAGTTGATGTTATTTATTATGTGTCTGTGTGTTATATATATATTTATTTTTCCAGTGTCTCATTTATATTTTGTCATTAAACCAAGAGTTTAGTTGCATGGGGGTAATAATTTATAAAAAAAACCTAATTATTTAAAATAAAATAGTGATTCGTTTCTGACAATATTAGTTTAGATGTATGATAATGAAAGCATGTTTAAGAAAATGTTATATCTTTATATATAATTATGTGAATCTCATTTAATGTTAGTTTAATACTCTTTCGGTTTCATGCTTGTTATTGGTTATACTTATAGCAGCACGTATATGTTCAGTTATTTTTTATGAAACTTTTGCACGTTTTAATTTTAAAAATAATAAAAGGTCTGATTCTCTGAAATATATAACCTATGTGAGTAATTTCAATATTTATGTGGGAAATATGATTTACTTATGTTCTTAGCTGTGGCATATCCCTGAGACTGTACCTATGGCTCCCAAATCTGGTGAGCCTCCACCGAATCCTCATTCTGATAATATTAAGAAAGTCAGAATCAGTCCTCCTCAATTACTTGAACCAACCACGAGCATCAATCCACAACAAATGGAAATGGGAGTTCCTCGACAATCAGCAGTCCACACCAGCCAGCTTGCCAGTCGGTTACAGCAGCCTGACAAGAGTCACCAAGACCAAGTGGAATTGCTAAAACAAAAACCTGAAGTTAGCTTGTTACCCTCTAAACCGGCGGCAAATCCAGCTCCGGCCATCAACATCAAAGAGGAGCAAATGTCAGAGGTAATGATTATGAAAGATGTTTATTTATTAATCTTTTTTTTTCTATAATATACTGCATTTATCTTAGACCGTCACGCTCCTCTTAAAGTCAGGACAATAAGTACCCCCCAGCCCCTTGGTTGTCGCTTGCGATAAAAAATTGTATCAAACGAAGAGACGCAGCAAGACGAAGGTTTAAGCGCACTCGACTTCCCGAAGACTACATGAATTTCAAGCTGCTTCGAAACAGTTACGCAATCCATGATACGCCATGCTAAATCCCACTACTACCAACAATCCTTATCCAGCACACCAAACTCCAAAGCTATGTGGGCAATCCTCCGTGAATTATCCTTAAGCAAATCCACCCAAACTCAGACTACCTCTATTTCAGCTGACATACTCAACACTCATTTTGTGTCTCCTGTTCATCCAATCCCTCTGTCCAAGCACCAGCTCCACCCCTTATACATCCCCCCTTTAATCCCAATCATTTTTTCTTTTTGCATATTACCCCTGACGACCTCCTTAAATCCATTTGTAAATCCCAAACCAAAGATTTCAGACCAGATAATATCCCAGTTAAATTAATTAAATCCTCACTTCCATCCATTTTCCCAGTCCTTTATCATATCTATAATTTCTCACTACAAAGTTCAACTTTTCCCAGCACCTGGAAAACCGCTCTTGTTTGTCCTCTGAACAAAATCTCTAACCCCACAACCCCTAATGATTTCCGTCCGATTTCCCTGTTATCTAACCTTTCCAAACCTTTAGAACGAATAATACAATCTCAACTATCCCAATATCTCGAACAAAATAGACATTTGAACTGCTTCCAGTCTGGTTTTAGACCGGACTGCTCCACTCATTCCGCCCTCATTAAAATCTCTTAAGATCTCCACACAACCATAGATCAACATAAACTCACCATCCTGATCCTTCTTGATTTCTCTAAAGCATTCAACTCAGTTGACCATAATATCCTCCTAACCAAACTTAAAAATATTTTCTTATCATCTAGTGCCCTTAAGTGGTTCCAATCCTTTCTCACCGATCACTCCCAGTACGTTGTAGTTCCTAATAACCCTCAATCAATGTCTCTACCTCTGTCCAGAGGAGTCTCACAAGGTTCCTCATTATCCCCTACCCTCTTTTCCATCTGCATCTATGACCTCCCATCCTGTATCATACACTGTCAATATCACCTATACGCCGATGACGTCCGAATTCATCTTTCCTTCAACCCGACAGATTCCTCTAATGCTATCCTGAAACTACAACAAGACATCAATAGAATATGCGCATGGGCAAATCTTAATAAGCTGACATTAAATACAGAGAAGACAAAAGCCATCCTGATTGGATTCCCCTCACTCCTCAAATCCATTTCAGCACCTCCTAATCTTCTTCTGCACAACTCACCTATCTCCTTCCATACCACTGTTAAAAACCTAGGCGTTACCCTCGATCAAAGCCTCTCCTCGAAACCACACATCTCCCAAATTGCCTGCCGTACTATATCCACCCTGAAACAGTTTAACCATCTACATTATCTTCTTCCGTTATGACAGCAAGGAGGTTAAGATGGGTGGGGTATTTTGCTTGTAGCAATCCATCTGGAAGCCTCTCTGTAACAATGAATGCTTCAATAGAAGGCAAAAGTCCACGTGGAAGGCCAAAAAGCAGATGGATGGATAGAATAAACAAAGATGTAATAGAGCTGCGTGCAGATAAATGGAAAGAAATAGCCCAAGATAGGCAGAAATGGAGCAGGCTTGTTAAGGCAGCAAAATATCTTTTTTTTTTATCTTTGGTTAATTATTCATGGTTACTTCTTATAGCTTTTATGTTTAGTAGGGTTAGATTTTTATCTAGTTGTCAAATTGTAATAAAGTTAATTACAAATAGTATGTACTTATACAAAATAAAATACTTCTCTTAATAATTAACAATATTCCTTTGCAATTTTAAAAAAATTATTAAAAAAGATAATTAAATAAAAAATCAAGTTAGTTGATGTTTATATTTTTAATTGATAATATAGAAATCAGATCATATTTAAAATATTTTCTTGTTTCATTGTTGTCTTACTAATTCTAACTAATTTACTGTGTGTAACTACTGTATTTTTTTTTTTTAAGACTAACAGAGAAAGACAGTAATCTTCAAAAATAATCGTTAAATTTGATAAAATATGAAAGATGATGTGGCATTCCGATGAAAAAAAACACATTCGAGAAGTAATATTTTGAGATATTTGATCAGAAAACTTTTATTTTTCAGAATTTTGCTGATGTCTTATCCACTCTAAATGAGTTAAATAAAAGTTTAGACAAAGTTGAAATCGCCAATGATAGGCCATCAACTGAAGATCGTGAAGGTATGCTTTTTCTATATTTGCAGTGCATGTTTAATGTTAATTAGTGTTTACTTTCTAAGGACCAAAAAATATTTATTTATACATCATCAGATTAATTAAACTCCATAGAAAGAGTGAATTTTTATTTAAGTTATTAATCTTAAAATAACAAGAAAACTAAATATAATTTTTGAATCCAAATGTATCCCAGTTATAAATTGATTTTTCATATATTTTATTTATGTGGACTAAAGGACTAATGAGGTATTTCCCAGCCATATTTAATAAAACAAACTTATCAATTAATATCTATTCAGATATTATTTCTTTAATTGTTTATTCAAATAAAATCTTAAAGAACTACCAACATTACTTATACAAATTATTCTCCTTTTCATAGGTTACTCGGTCTCTCCGTTTTTAATTAGACTTCTAATTTTCAAGGTTTTTTTCCGTACTAATCATTGATCTTAACCTCTTTGATAAATTGATAAATCACCAAACCTTCATAGGCTATTCTTTTTTATTTTATTTTTTTAAATTTGTTTTTTTACAGTGGTTAACTAAAGTTAATATAAATAATAATAATAAAATTGAATTATTATTTACTTTTTTAATTTATTGTTTAGATAGTATTTGCTGTTAATTAATATTGATTATTTTTTTAAAAGATTCTCATGAAGATTGGTGTGCCGTCTGTATGGATGGAGGAGATCTTGTCTGCTGTGATATTTGTCCTAAAGCTTTTCATTATGGTTGCCATGTTCCTGTGATTACACCTGACGAGTAAGTTAATTTTTTTTTAAATACAAATTGTGAAACTGTTTTTAAACTTTTTTTTCAACTTTTATTTGTATAAACACAACTTACAACTTCACGTTTTTGTATGTGAGTATGGTACTTGTGGGAAATTTATTTTATATTAGAAGAGAAGCAATTCAGTTACATCCATACTTTTTCAGGTTATGGCTGTTAATTCCCACAAAATTTTTTAAATAGTTATCTATAAAATGTTTTACAGTCTTATTTATTCCATATATTTTCTATGGAAGGGGTAAAAAAAATTAACTAATTTGTCTACATTGCACTATTTTACATTTTCGTACTTTGTCTATTTATTTTTTATATTTGACCTTCCAATTTTATTAAATACTAAATTTTCACCATATTATTTCATACTTATTTAAAAGTTTCTGTATTAGATTGAATTGTAGTGATGAAGTATCTATTTATAAATATGAGGGTAGACTTACCTGCAATACGGATCTCTTCTATTTTTCTCTCACAATATGGATCATTTTAAGTAGGAAGTTTAAAGGTTGTCTTAATCAGTCATTAATAGCCATCCTTGATGTTCCTTGAAGGTGACAGAATAATATTTATTTCTAAATTTGGCCACCACTTCGTTGTCTACCCATTCACCAACATTATCTCCTCGGTTTCTTACAAATGTTTCTTCAATTTCATGCAGCATTTTTCTTCCTGAAAAAACAAAACATTATATTCCAAAATTTTTATTATACTGTTCTATTCAACCAACAGTAAAAGTTTGTAATCTTGTTTCGAGGCAATAAAAATCTTTACAGGTGAAATTAAATGCTAGATTTTTTTTTATGGGATAATCAGTGAGAGTTATAACAGAAGAATTTAATAATATTTTTTCTATGATTATGTTTTGAGTTGTATACTTTAACCTTCAATATTACCATGGTGAACAAACTTGATTATATTTTTTTAACAAAGCTTAATTTCTTGAAAATTACAAAAATTTTTGGCATTTATGTTTTTCTGAAGTTACAAACCATTGAAATTTTGTGAACAAATAATATTCATTCTTTCTCTTCTATATATGACCAGTTTAGAATTTCATCAACTAACTAACATACCTAATGAAACTTAACTTTTTTTACTGTAATTAGTTATATTATATGAGTATGTTGGGATTGTGAGAGAGGGACAGGACATAACAGAAGACTCACTGTTGTAGCCCTTTGGCTATAATGTTTGGAGACCTCTGGTTCCTAAGATGAAATTAAATGGATAATATCTTTATTATTCTGGGTCATAAGTCCCTTTAGAAAAAATTATGAGTACATCTTATGGTGGCCAAATTAATAGTAAATGCCAATTAACAGTTGTGGCTGTTAAATGGATAGCCTTATCAATTTGTCTATTTCTTATTTGTATGGAATCTTCAAAACAAGTCTACTTCAAATATAGTTTGAGATAAGTTTTTTAAGGTACCGTGTTGTTGTCAATTGATATAGAAATTATCACCATTTATAAATAAGTAGATATAATAATAATAATTGTGTTTTAAATACTCATTATTTCAAACTTTAGCTAAACATGTAAGATTTCAATCATCAAAATACATAATAAAATTATGGATTCTATTGAATATAAAAAATTTAACTGAGATATCATGGTAAAAATAAAATAAAAAGGATTATTACTAAACATCAAATAAATATTGTTGTTTTATTGCAAAAAGTCATGAAGTAACATTTCAAAAAATTTAATATTTGGATGAATGTTCCCTAGAAATAGCAAACAAGATTTCAGTACTTGTTAAATAGCAGGTAGCGTCCAACTGCTTTCTGCCAATGTTTATAATCTTAACACTGATAACTCTGATAAGCCACTGATAATATCTTTGTATTCATATTTATTGTATTGTATTGAGATTATTGAAATTGTGAGCAAAAACAAATTTAATAATAAAAAAATACTATTATTTTACTAGATATATATTAAATAGACTAAAACATCATACATATTGATATTTATGGGTGGGACCACCCATAAATGAATTTTAAAACCGTTAAAAAAGAGATCCTCGACCCCTCTAATCACGTTCCCTTCCTTATAGAAACGGTTTTGTTACAAGTATGAAAGCATCTCCATTTAATCTTCCCGTCGAACTTTATTTCATGGCCTTCTTCACAATATTTCACCTTTGCAAATATCCTGTCGTTCTGAAGATATTTGATAGCCTCTTGTTTTGAGTACGGCAATTCCCACAATGTAACAACATCCATAATTAAATAAGACTAACTCACAGCTTACACAAGGAACAAAAACCAAACAATAGAATAGCTTAGGTCAGAGGAGTTAAGAAGGGAGGTTATGTGAAATAAGATTAGATAACAAGGGAGGTTTCGATGCTACCCTTTCTATTTAACAAGTACCAAGATTTCTAAAGTAATCTTGGTGTACTACCAGATCATCAACAGCATAATAGGACACCGTGAGGTAGGGAGAGATGTTAAGATGCATATATATGAGGCTATGTACCTACCAGTTCTTAAATATGGTGGTGAGATCTGCGGGATGTTCAACAGACAAACAAAAACGTAGTGAAAAGTTTAGTTCCATCAAAAAACGTACTTCATGACTTTTTGCAATGAACTGAAGATATATTTCTTATATTAATTCTGCCTATATTTAAAAGAAATATTCATTTAAAAAAAGAAATTATACTCTTTGTTAGACTTTTTGTTTTATTAAGTTTTCTTATCTTGGTTTTTTCAGGGCGAAAGGTGATTGGCAGTGTCTTTTGTGTAAATCAGTCGAACCTGTAGTTAACGCTGATCCGACCCTTCAGTGCCTTTCACATACCGAGAAGAGAGCTGCTTCAAGGTTGCTGTTAGAAATATACTGTCAATATGATGCAAGCTTGAATTTAAGGCTGCCAGTACCACCACAGGTTAGTTTTTATGTATTATGTATTACTCTCTTTTACTAATGTGAAATATTTGAAATAGAAGAAATGGCTTGAAACTTTTTAATAATTTCCATAAACTCTCCTTAGTAACTTTACTAACTAAATTTTATTCTTAGTATTTGGCTAATATGTACAATCCATTTAATAAGCTAAGTGCATTAATGAAATTTGTAAAGCAGGGCCGTTCGAGATCGTGTAGTTTAATTCACAGAGATCCAGTACAAAAATAAACCAAACTGGTAGGCCCATGAAAAAAATTTGTAGTCTATTGTTCAGTGATCAAATGACAAATTGATAATAAAATAAAATAATGAAGCATGTCATAAGATATAAGATATAGAAATCAATTGTTACTTTCTCGCTAAATATAATCGACAATGGAAACAACAATTATTTTAAAACTTCTTTAATGTTTGGAACCAACATGTTTACAAATTTCAATAAGCTGTATTTTTGCTAATAATTGTCCGATTTCAATGTGGTTTTTTTTTTCATTTTGCTATTTTTTATATTATCATGGACATAACCCAGAGAAAAGTGTGTAGTTTTTGAGTTATTCGCAAATAAAGTTTCTTTTCTTTCATAACTTTTCGCCTGAATTTTCTTCGGGGTGATTGGACTATTTTTCCTGTCTGAAGGAGAAGGAAACCTTCAAAACTGGTGGCTCAATCTTGTGATTGATGAAGAATTAATGATGATATGGCTTACCAACAAAAAAACACCTTTGATAAACAATATAAACTCCTCCTCTCTCGATCATAGGAATCTCAAGTACCTCTGAGACATATATTCCATGATATTACTACAATTACATAAGGTTGTGTGGATGCGAACCCTTTGCCTTGCATTGTCTCGAAAATAGTATGTTTTTGGGCTTAAGAAGGAACGATCCGGGTCTTTGTGTATGCATCAAACTCTTCAAAGCCCAATTTGTCCTGTATCGATCTAAAGACTTACCACTATTCCAGTATTGAAGCCTAGCAAAATGTTTGTATAAACTTTATTTATTTTAGAAAGAAAAACATAAGCGCAGAGTACGATTCGTTAATCCCCCATGAAATTCTGAATCCAACGGTACCCCTTTCATCGTATTTGAACATAACAGGAGCTTATATTTGGTACAAAACCGATTTCAAGCTTTACTGTAATAATATATGTGGGGATATCAGTTCTTTATAACCCTTATTACAACTTTGACATAATTAAACACATTTTCATTCTATTATAGATTACTTATTCGTAGTTTTAAAAATTCAGAATATTGTATTTTCTAAAATTTTTTTTTCTAAATGATCTTTTATATAACATGTTTTAGATTTTTGTTATTAAAAATAATGTCTACTTGTTTTGATTTTTTTTTTCTTCTCTATCTTCATTTTTTTACGCTTTTCTTCTGATTTCATCAATATTTTAATTGATAATTTATTTGTAGAGTATAAATTATCTTATTTACATCTTTAGGTTATTTGATTTGTAATCCTTTTTTTTAACATTAGATCTATTTTTTTTGTTTTCTTCTTTATGTATTCACACAATCTATAAGGCTTTCTCTGTTAAAACTCGAAAACTAAAAATAGATTTTAACGTTGATTGCTTGGGAACTCTTCCTTGCTATGAACTATGCAACCCTATTTCTTTCTTTTTTTTTAAGTTATTGTTTTACAGATTTTATCTATATATAAAATGTTTTATTTTATTTTTGGCTTGCATCATTCCCGGCCTTGGGTTCAAGATGTACTTAGACAAAGTATTTATTCTTATTAGTTACATCAATCGAGACTTTCCTTCATAACCTCCTGTGGCACAGCTATCCTCCCTAAAGTGAAAACCCTTGATTGCATTGGGGGATGATCTTTGCAGATGAGTGACATTACCACCTTGTATAACCTATTGATCAGTTAACATAAAACATTATATATATATATATATATATATATATATATATATATATATATATATATATATATATATATATATATATATGTATATATATATAACGTTTTCTTTTCTTTTTGGCTTGAACATTAAAAATTTTGTTTCAATTCCATCCATGAGTAATCTTTACTCATTGAGTTACCCCATTCTCCTTAGAAGCAAAAAGCAATATATGATCTCTTAGAGCCAGATTATTATTTTTATTATTTTAAACACATAGATATTCCTTCTACATCAACATCCCTTAGTTGTTTATTACAGATACAAACCAGTATCCTTGAATTATGTCTTAAGGAAGGTAATCTTCAGCATTCACTAAGCTGAACATTTTTTCGGAATTTTGACTCCTTTGTGGAATTAATAATTCCTTTTGGTGTGCTCAACTTTTCTGTCTGATTTGGAACAGTTGTTTAAACATATATATTGAACTTGAATATATGTTGGGAAGCATAATGCTTAATTTTGATGATCATTGTTTTCTTCTATTTTCATAATAGGGTATAGAATTTCTTGTGTCATGAGTCACATGAATTTCAGTTTTAATTTGCTAAGAAACTTTTATGAATTTTAGTAATATTAAGTAATGTTTTATTAAATTTCTTTACTGACCTTTTAATTCTTGATCTGACTTCATCGGACTAATCCTGAAACATATATTATTTTCATAATGTATTTGAACCAGTAATGTTTTTTTCTTGGAATCATTGTTTTATTGTTTGATTTTTTTTAAATGTTAACAACCTTATAATCTTAGGGATTACAAAAAGAATTATCTTTAAAAACAAACTATTATTCAATTGTTAACTGGTAAACATATGATTTAATGTCATATATTTTTCTGTTTGTAGGATTAATCATTAACAGATGTTTATTACTATATGTTGTAGATAATTAAATCAGAATTCCCATTGCGATACATAATCTTGTTTGTCTTTAATTATTGAATTGATGAAAAAAATAAACTTTAATAGTATTATATAATATATAAGGTACATGAATATTCATTAAATAATATTAATGGTAAATTCACAGCTATTAGATTTTTGAGTTTTTATTTTTTCTTAAAGTGAATTTTATTGTTTATCACTGATATTGTTACCTATAGGAGTTAAAGATTATTTATTGATATATTGAAATATTTGATTAACTTGACTTACATCAGCGTGTTTTAATAATTGATCACATTTGGCTAGAAGTCTCTCGGAAACCTATGTATTTTGTATCAGTTTTCTTAATCCGCTTCTTAAGATATTTTGAAGGTCATGTGATTCGATTGTTACTTAAGAAACATATGATTATTAATTAATTTCTTGTGGCATTAGTGATTAACGTGTCACCAGCTAATTCAATGAAATCTTCAAATTTCTACTTTTTTACCTGACCTACTTTCATTTGCCTATTTGAAAAGTGTATTTCTAACATTCCACTAAAATAAAACCATATCTGATCTGAGTCTATTAAGACTTGACAGATTGCAATTGTCAGATTATTTGTCAACATTTTACTGCAAAAATTTGTTTGATTCGTGGGAAGATACTTAAGATCTTTTAATATAATATTATACCCCTTCCACTTTGTTAAAAAGTATGCTGATATCTTTGAACTACAGATCTATTTTTTATAAATACTGAAAAATTAAAGTGTTGGTGTGACACGTATTATGTGTATATATTATAAGTGGAGAACATGTGGCCTCAGTGAGCTAGATGCAGCCTCGGAGGCTGCATGCAGCTCCTGTTAGTGTTTGTGTAATCTTTATTAATCTAGCACTAGCATTATTTATTTATAATATTTAATTATTCATGTTACAAAAGTTTGAAAATTAATTGAATTAAGTTGAATATGTATATAATTTATATTTACTTATAAATAAAAAGAGCAATATTAAAGTTAAACAAAAAAAGTATTGTGTCCCCCATTATCAATGTTTAACCTAACTGCGGCCTCTAACGATAAAAAGGTTCCCTATCTTTATTTTTGAGTTTTTTGAACGTTTTTTGAAGACTTTAAGAAAATAAACCTCATAAAATACAAAGGATTACATTTATTTTATTTTTCAGAATACTGCTTATTATGACATGGTGAGGCAACCGATTTGCTTGGATCAGATTCGAGATAAAATGTCGAGCAATCGCTATAAAAGTATGATTGAATTTGTTAGTGATATAAAATTGATGTTCAACAACTTCTACCTTGTGAATCCCGTATGTATTATTTTATTTAAATAAATTAATCATAGAACATTTTCATGCTTACTAATTAATATCTATGATTTTATGATACTTCATAATGTAAAATAAGCCTTCATTTAGAAAAGCTCATTTGCCATAATTATTATTGCTTCTTTATAGGCTGAAAGTCAAGCTGTGATTCAGACGAAATCTCTTGAAGAACTCTTCAACTCTCTTCTTTCCCGGTTTTTGGCAGATCCTGTTCCTAATGTTGCTTGTATTAAGACTGAAGCAATGGAAACGTGATCATTTGTGTTTTATTATTTTAAATGTTATATACGCTTATTTGGTATGTCCTGAATACCAAATGAAGAGGAAGAATCATGTTCCTGTTTTTAATTTAGACAATGCCAAATTATCATTTGTTTTATTATTTATTAATGTAATTATTTCATATATATGAGTGTTTTTATAAATACATCAGAGAAATTTGTTTGTTATTTATTTGTGTTGAAATAGCTTTTACAAGTTTTTCATGAAATTTTATTTTGGAATTTCTATATGATTTTGTCTGGTTGTCAGTATCATAGATTATAATTGTGTTATTTATGTGTATCGTGTTATAGAAAATTTATTTATTTTTCTCTATTGGAATTATAATATTTAGTAATAATAAGTGGTCCAAAAAAAAATATGTTTTCAACTCAGTAAACTTTAATTGTAGTTCTAATACGTAATGATCTGAATTTAGTAATAACTAAGATTTGAACAATTATTTGTGTTTCTAATATTTCTTTTTTGTGACTGTAATTATTATACAAAACACATTGCACATCCAATGAATATTTTTGTATTGAATATTGAAAAAAAATTTTTTTTGTTAGAAATAAGTCAGATACAGACAAATATAGAAATCTCTAGGATGTTTTCTCTAACACATGTTTATTGACCACCTATTGATTCTATTCATTTGCCTGATATTTGATGGCTTTACAATGATAGGAATCCAACCATTAAAATTTCTGATGTTAAAAAACATGAGTTTTATCTCTTAAATTCTTCATGTGCAATATATCTATGTCTTGTTCTAATGGGCAAAACTCTAAAAGTTATATAAACATGATTTAATCTGTTACACAATATATTTTTCTTGTTTTAGTTATTTATGATTTGTGGAACATAATCTCAAGTTGTATTCTCATTCTCCTTAATAATGAGAGTTATTATTAAATAAAGTAACAAAGAATTATTAAGATACAAATAAATAGTTGTTGGACTTACACTTCTTAATTTCATTGTACCCAGGATTTCAAAATTATCTTTATCATTTGAAATTTCGCTATTGTCATTTTCATTTTGTTTTAATAATTAATAACTGGCAATAAGAAATTATTTTTATCATTTGATTATTTAAGTATATTTCAAATTTAAGTATATTTCTGTAATAAAATATCATTAAATGAGGAAAGGCCTTCTGAAACGATTCCTCCCATATTAGTAATAAGAGAATATATACGTAATAAAGTTTAAATATCTTCACTTAAATGGTGATGAAAGAATACCACCAAATCATCAAATTTAGTTATTGGGAATAGTTCTATCATCAAACAGTTAGCAGGTATAAATTAGGTTTATAACAATAAAGCTAATCTTCTCAACTGTATTATTATATAATATTTTTCTGGTAAGTCTAGGAACTAACAGTTTTTAGGATATTACATGATAAAATATGTTAATAAAAAAAATAGAAGTATTAATGGTGGGAGTATTAAAAGAGTGTCACAATGTACTTTTACCTCAATTATTTTATATGCGAATTCAAAATTTTAAGCTATGAAAATGATCGAAACTAATAATAAAATAATTTTATTGACTTTGGATTGTATGTGTGTTACAATCAAAAATACTATAGATTTAAATAAAATTGTTTAATATTGTTAATATTTTTTATAACCATATTTATTTTAAGTATTCATCGAGGAAACATATTAAGTTATAACTATGTAATCTGTAAATATTATTTAGTAGACAATGCTAGATATGTTTTGTTTTATGTATATTTATCACATATTTCTATTAGTCATATATTTTATAGATTTTTATACAACTGAAGAATTATATGAAAATATTGTAACCATTGTAATTTATTTTACATCAAAAGTTAATAATATCAGTTAATAACACATTACTTATACGTGTAGATTAATTACTTATCATTATATTGATTTACAATCAAGCTGTAAAAATAAAAATATCTAGTAATTTTATAGTTATAGGTGTGTTAAGCAACCATGCTCACTTAATATCTTTACTTAGTCTGTTAATTAATGATAAAAAGTGCAATGTTACTATGGATATTTATGTAATTCAATTTAACTGATTTTTTTTTTAGTTTCAATGGCTGCAAAAAAAGAAAAAAAAGTATTATATTTTGTTGATTACTTATTTATACAAAACATATATGATTATCAATTTACAATTTATTTAGATTGTATTATATATTATAAACTTTTTTTATTAATTATTGTTTGCCTCCTTTCAATAATTTGCAACTCTAAAAGTATGGTTAAATGTATAACCTTAAAACTAAGATAGTAAACCGTTAGTTTTATTTTTACTTATACATAATTTGAATCTCTATAAAAATTAATCTAATAATATTTTTCTAAATCATGCATATATATTCTTCATACTCAATTACAGTTGACTCTTGATAATTGTAAAAGCAAATATATATACAGGAAATTGAATAATACCTGCTACAGAGAAGATTTTTGAGACTTTTTTTGAAAAACTGGGATGGACAAATATTTGTTTGTGTTTTATGCAAATATGTACACTGTTTTTGAAAAAATGGAATGAACAAATGACAAGAAAATAAAAATTAACGGATTTAAATTGTATTTTATAAATCATTCAACGATGTTTATTCATTTAAATAAAAAAATTGTTAAATTTACAATACTATTTAAATATATTTTTATTAGAAATAATTTATATTTTTATAATGATAAGTACGCTAATGGGTAACAATAAAAGTAAATACATAAACACCCGAAAACTAAATTAAAAGTTAAAAAACAAAAAGAAATATTCTGTAGTCTTTGTTACTTCACTATTTTTTTTTTTAACTTGGCTTGAAGATACAAATTTCCCATATTTCTGCTGGAGAAGATGTACAACCAACAACATACATATAAATTGGCAGGTCGTTCTTATCGGGAGCTTTAATCCCTTAAACCAGTTGTTTTTTTTCATCGACATGACAAAATTGCACTCAACTTTCAATGACCTGTTAATGACCCTGGACTTATCATATCTGAAAATCATTAAGCAACTGATTAAATAATTATGTCCATTCAATTGATAAAACTGAAAGATATAATGATAATTAATGAAGCTAAGTAGAGGTTTATAATTATTGATATTTTTCACTCAAACACATCAGGACAATCTTCATTGATAATTTTTTTAACTAATTGTAAGTACCAATATGAACCATCTCAGGTTTCATAATAAAATCACCAATTTACACAGCCAATAATCCAAATAAGACACTGTCATACAACATGGTATCTGGATATTTTTTGTATATTGAAGTTTTTTAAAACACTATTTCTTATGGCTGATTTCATGGGTTATTCATTGAATTTGTAGGAAATTTATTCCTTCCTTTAGGAGCAATGTTTGTATTAAGATAAGGAAAGTTAGGTATAGGTTCAAGCATTGTAGCCAACAATCGCCAGTGAAGCTAAAATTTTGTTAGGTATCATGTTTTAAGACAGAGTACTTCAAATTTAATAACTATTGAATTACTCTAAGCTGACTTCAGCTTTCCATGAACAATGAAATCTTGACTGGTCATCCAGAAAGGACACTATTATGGTATGACCAGCAATTATTAAAATTCATTAATTCCTGAAAACGCAGTGAGAAGTTTGGCAATATGTCAGAAAATTGAAAGGAATAGATATCAAATTGTTTAGGAGTAAAACATTGAGAAATACTCGAGAAAAAATGTATATGTTATTTCCCTCAAATAACATTTTTATCCAAATTAACTGGTTAACTAAAGTGACGAATAATTTCTTAGTTATCGAATGATTGCAATTAAATTTATTTAAATCATGCTGTAACATTTAATTAACTGAACAACAATTTGTGCGGAACTTCCCGACAAAATTGTTCACCAGATAGACAGGTGAAATCCGTGTCTTTGAAATAATTTAAGATGGTTTATATTTTTTTCGACACATGGCATCATAGGCGCAGACTTTCCATTCTGGTTTGGAGACAATGGATCCCCCAAAAGATTTTCGGGAGTTTATATTATGTATAAAAATTATAAGTGAAAATTAACAGAAACAATATAATTATTGTGAAACGAACAATATAAAAATAAACTTATATGTTTTGTTATATATATAATCTTTTTGTGTATGCGTAGATTTGAAAATGTGTTGACAAAGCAATTGCAAATATTATATATTTTTATTTAAAGGTTTGAGGCAGTGAGATCAACACTCAATTCTGCGATATTTCAAATTTGCAGCTAAAAATATTATAACATCTTCATGTGAAAATAGAAGGGTGCACATGAATGAACCATACAATTCTAGGATATGTTGCTACTTATAGTTATCTTTGAATATAAACTAAAATTTCCCTAAAAGGAACATAGGGCATAGTAAAACACTTCTATACCTATACTTGCATACCTTCTAGCATTTAGCTTAGCCATCTAGTCGACATTTCCTATTTTCTTAATTGAATTTAGTTTATATAGTTTATTCATTCATATAAATTAATTAACTAATGATTTTGATTTCATTTTTGCTCTTAGAAACATTGGAGAGGATATTCTTGCTTCCTCTCTATTTTTATTGGGAGGGAGAGCGATCACCCTCCTGGCTCTCCCGAAGTTCGGGCTAATGCATGACATACGAAAGTAACAGACAGAAACTTGATGCGTTTTACACAGTTGTGTAAAACCTAGGGTACAAAATGATATAGAAACTTAAACAGCTGTAGGAAAGCGATGGTGGGAGGATTACGCTAAACGTTAAGGCTGATTTTGCGGGATTGGGTCGGACAGGCACCAGTGGATGAAAGTATATTGACGACGAATGATGGCATGGGCACTGAACCTTTAGGTTTGCTGGATATTTTATAATTACTATTAAATTATTGAAATAAAATGAAAATATTAAGACAAAAATAAAAAATCTTTCCCAATTCAGATGGATTAAATTTTATTTTCATTCATATCTCCTAGCTCGCCTAAACTATCATGAAAATCTAATTGT